GCTCTTGAACTAAGTGTGTTGGCAAGCAGCATCAGGGGTGGGGGGGGGGAGGTGGAGAGGGTGAGCCCACATTTTGCATGGAGTCAGGAATGCTTGTTATTGATGTTGGATTAAAAGTAATAACAAATATATTGCATAGGCAAGTGAGGATGTAGATGAATAATGTAAAACTGATTGTGTTAATGACAATACATTTGTAATTTAGAGTCTTAGAAAGTTGTCTGGCCTGGAGAGGTTTATTAATGGCCATGAGGTTTTGGAGGTAGGATTTGAACTCAGGTCTTCTTGAACAACTTCAAGGCTATATTGCTAGCCTCAAAATCCCACTGGTCATTCCTTCAGTAGTCTTAACTTGGACCAATTACATATGAGGAAACATTTTTACAACAGTGTGTAGCTCACTTTGAATGTAATGAATGTAATAAGAGATAACTATTTCTCATTTTCTCAATCATGTAACTGAAATGGGGAAAATGCCTAGAAAGGACAACACTAACAAAAAAACTAGAAAATCCTGCTTTCTAATTTTTCCTTTATTCTTATAGAATGTTTTATTGGTTTCTCCATCTAATAGAAAGTCTGCCCTCATTGATAAGCATAGAAATATTTTTTTTCCAATTTAGTCGAGAAATCCCCTTAGCCATGACTGAACTTTTTTCCCCTAATTTAAAAAAAATGGTGAAATAAGGAATTGAAACATGCAAAAAATAGTTAATCAGGGTTCCAAGAGCAGAATATTTGATGATGCATAAAATAGGTAATGAACCTTATTTAATTGTTATTTTTCTTTAGAAAAATATAAAAAAATAGATCCTAGGCATTTTAGAGTTAAATTTTTGAAAACTAAAATGAAGCTTTTAAATGACTCTACCCCTACCCTTTCCTAGGGAAAGGTATGATAATACATCACAATGTTCCAGAGAACAGAATATTCAAAGGTCAACTGCCTATTTCACAGGCAGCATCTATCCTAGTTTTGTTTCAGGATTAACTTGGAGCAATTCCTTCTTCATGAAACTCGTCCTTTCTCCCCCCACTAGACAAAAAGTAGGAGGGACATATTGAAGCCTGGCTCCTTTATTAGACCAAGATTCAATCAGTCTGTCTCTTCATTTTCTTTGGGAATCAACAAGTAACTGAGTCTAGTAACTGAGTCAAGAAGTGGCAACATCTGACCAGGACACAAGGGAAGTGACCCCTCTCAAGGTACTGACTTAGGTGACCCCCAAGGCTTTGGGGCACACACTTTTCCATTATCTATATTATGTCTTCATCATCACTGCCTTCTTCATTCAAAGCTTGGCCCAGGGTACAACTAGTATGTCCATGACAATAAGCTAAGTCAATGCAAGGGTATCATGTTCAGGTCTGGCTTTTAAGAAATATGAAATGATGCATTATTGACCCTGGTATTGTTTCATTATCCTAAATCATAGTCTAAAGATTAAGTAGTGTGTGTGTGTGTGTGTGTGTAGGTGGGTTTGGGGGACAGTGGGCAAGCATACAATCCTGACTTGGGTTTACAAATAATAATGCTAATTAATCAACAAACATTTATCAAGAGCCAGACATTGTGCTGGTGCTAGAGGCACAAAGACAAAGAAAAATGAAGTAGTCCCTATCCTCAAGGAACTTATATTCTATTTGGAAAGAATACAAACACCAAAATAAACACGAGGTGGTTTTTCTTTGGGGAATATTACTTACTAAGAGCTATATGATGGGAGGAGAAGGAAAGGCTTCATGTAGGAGGTGTCATTTGGACTGTTTTTTGAAATAAACAAGGAATTCTAAGTAGAGGCAAGGAAAGAGGGCCAGGCATGGGGGCACAAACCTATGCAAAGCCACGGGGATGAAAGATAGATTAGTAAGTATGAAAAGCAGCAAGAATGTCAATTTTGACAGATCAGAAAGTATGAGAAGGGGGATAACGTACAATAAGATTGGAAAGGTAGACTGGGTGTAGGTGGACAAAGCAGCTTATACTTAACTTTAAAGGCAATTTGGAGCCATTAGAGTTCACTGAGTAGGATAGCAGACTCCAAACTCTTTTTACCACACACTCCTATAAAATAGTTTTGAGCATACACTCCAAATAGGTATCTATTCTCTTATTTGTAAATTATTTATAGGAGCCACTATAATTATGTACATTATAAAATTGACACAAAAAGACATTTTAAAGAATGATATAAAGATGAAATACTTTAAGAATAAAATTTAAATTGATGGGACAAAAATTCTTTCTGCTATCACTAAAATATTAGTACTAATAATACTTTAGTGAGAGCCATGCGATTGAATATGCTTTATTTTGCTAAGGAGGAGAAGGGGAAGTAGGGAAGCTAGGTGGGGCAAGTGGATAGAGCGTTAGAACCAAGTTCAAATCTAGCCTCAAACTAACTGTGTAACCATGGGTAAGTCACTTTAAATTCTGTTTTCCTCAACTTCCTCATCTGTAAAATAGTAATGATAATAGCACAAATTTCCCAGGTTTGTAGTGAGGATGAAACGAAATCATATTTACAGAGTGCTTAGAACAGTGCCTGGCATGTAATAGGTGCTAGACATTTGTTAACTTTATGATATTTTTGTTTCGAGTGCAAGAAATGCATCACCAGTTGTGCTTACTGTTATCACGATACTCAATTTTGAATCCTAACAACCAATTAAGCAAAGGGGCTTTTTTGTTGAAATTCTGCTGGTAGATTTTCATCTTCCCTGATGTTAATTGATTCTTGCAAACTGACTGGAAGGTATTACACTTTTACAATTTTGATGAATGAGTTCCAAACCCAATAAAATTCTTCCTTTGTAGGATTTTTAGAATATGTTATAAAAGTCAGTTTCCATGTTTTTTAAGTGTACAGATTTGAGAGTTTTTTATAAGTGACACCCACCTTGTTTTCTACGGTTCAGCACCTGGCCCACCATCTTCCAATCCTCCCCAGCTCCTGCTCTTATACTAGGGGACTTTAACATCCATAGAGATGTTCTCTCAAACCCCCTAAACTCCCAATACTGTATCCTGCTTAAAAGTCATAACCCCTATACTCCTTCACTCTATCTCAGCCATACATACATACAATAGTCATACACTAGGTCTCGTCACTACCTACAAGTGTTCCAATAACACGTTCCTATTTAGAAATTGACATTCTCCTATATGACCATAAACTTCTATTATTCCACTTTTCTATGAGCTTTATACTTCCTATTCTTCACTCTCATAATGGTCTCCCATCCTTTCACCTCTTAGTACTTTCTCAGGCCATTGGCCCGGAGTTGGGACTCTTGGTCAATATTGCTAATAAACAGCTATGTGGCCTCGGATAGCTCATGTCAATTCCTGGGGCTTTAGTTTTCTTACTTGTAAAATGAAGGGGTGGGACTCCTTGACCTTTGAGGTCCCCTTTGACATCTAGACTTTCACCATTTGAAATATTGATGCTGGGATTACCCTCTAAAGACCAACTATTTCATAAGGAGAGATGACAGAATGGTAACACACAAACACAAACACACACACAACATTCTGTCCTCTGTCTTTATGATAGCTAGCAAGAGAGAGGTGGAGGGGAGAGAGACAGAGAGACAGAGAGACAGAGTGCTACATCTAAATGCATGTGCTGCTGCATCTATGGCTAGGCCCATTATCATTTATGTTTCTCATTTCTGCCATTGAAGAATTGTCGTCCAAATTTAGGGTCAAATCCAGGTGAATGGCACTAGAATGAGATGGAATGGTTTGCTGATACTCATATCCAAGCACCAAATAGGAAGGTATGGACAGATGCCACATGTGGCCTCCCTCCTCCCTCACTCCCACCATCCCATTGGGTGATACATGAGGTGATCAGCCTGAGGAGTAGTGAGGTATGCTCTTGGGTCCAAAGCCCAGAGCCCTGGTGCCCAGGTTTACATAGTTTTCTGACAAAGGGCCTACCGTGGCATCTATAATGCTGCTTATGGGGTGATGGGGTCAGGGAGCATGGACCAGTGCCAAAGGGCAAAATTAACCAGGAAAGCCTACTTGGGAGGGGCAAAGTGGAATTAAATTGTGCCACATAAGCAAATTTGCAGGTGAATTTAAACCTTAAGAATACTAAAGTTGTATGATGGGAAACACTCCTAAGTGATTGTGGCCATAGATTCCTTTGGCTATTCAAGCATAGAAATATGGACTGAACCTATGGTTTCATCAGTACAGGAAATCTCTCTACTAATCCATCCTTGCACCTTCTCTCTAACTTAGAGAGTTTGTAAGAACAGAGAAGCTAAGTGATTTGTGCAGGATCACACAGCCAGGATGAACCCATGACTTCCTGACTCTGAGGCTGATTCTGTACCCTCTACCTCTCACTGGGTAGAAGGGTATACACCTTATACTAAGGTACAAAAGAGTTTCTTCTAAACTACATGAACTTGAGTGGTCCTATGACCACTCCTCCCCTTCTCCTGACATAAATGGCTTCATCATTGAATCAATAGTACAATAAGTGTGTTTTGGAACAAGACAATTATTTTCAATCTGCATTTTAATGTAGGGTAATTTTAAAGTTTCTACATTGGTTAGGGAAATCATCTTGTATGTGGATTCTTAGGATGACTTTTGAAATTGTAATTTTAGACCTAAAAGCAACTTGATCAGAGTTAATTATTCATCGTCACACCATTACTAGAGAATTCTGTTGCTTCTTACTTGCAGGGGCCAGAAAGACAAGATGAAGACTCTGATCCCGATTGTGCTCATTTTGGCCTTTACCAGTTGTTTTCCAGTAAGTTCCAATGTTTTGGAGAAGCTAAATCTCTTGTGATCCCAATCAAAGATTTCATCACATTCTCTTCCCCTTCTTCCCTTCCATCGCCCCCAAAACAAAGGACTGTCCTCTCTTTCAAACATGCCAATTTCTGTTGAAAGCGCCACCATCCTTCCATCCTTCCATGTAGCCCAGGTTCGGAACCCACGCAACATCTCTAGCTCCTCACTCTTCCTTTCCCCACATATACAATTAGTTGCCCAGGCATTTCTACCTCCACAACAATCCTCAAAACTGTACTCTTCTCTTTATTCACACAGCTGACACCCTAGTTCAAGGTCTAACAACTTCTCATCTGAACTCTTTGTCTCCCTGCCATTAGGAAATCTCTCTTCTCTACAACCCACCCCCACTTAGCTGCCTAATGTTTAGGTCTAACTATGTTACTCTCCTACACAGTAAATTACAATGGTTCTCTAATACCTCTAGAGGGACTAAGTATTATTTCATCAATCTCATTTTTGTTTAATTTATATCTTGCATACTTTATCATGTATACAATTATAAGTATGGTATACACATACATGTGGAGTTTGCATATGAGTGTTTAATGAATACTTCATAAATTTGTTCACATAATTTATAAATAGGTAAACACACATATTAGGAGTGCTCAAAAATGTTTTACCAATGGGGTGCGTGATCAGAAAAGTTTGAAGACTATTGACCTAGAGGATGACTAATATGCCACATGTCCTGGAAAGAGGGGTCTCTGGAAAGTTTTACAGAGTTTGTTTTTCAGGAGGTTGTGGAGGTAGATAAGGATAGGCAGAAGGAAGGATGATTGTCAGGAATATCAATTTGCACTTCAATTAGCTGTCTACCTGCTGAGATATTTCCCCTCACCTTAGGGAAAAAAACACAATAGAAAAGATGAGTCCTCTGTCACTGCCATACTGTGCCATGACCATTAAACTAGATACATTTTCTTTCAAAGTCATATTGGGTTATAAGTTGATCTTGCGAATTTCAGCCATATCATAATGGAGATTTCAATCAACTTAATGAGTAAGACCTTTCCCCAAGTCAGTAATGGAATACTAAATACTCCAGGGCCTAAAACCAACTACTTCAAAACATCAATTGATATTCCTAAAGATCAGGTTTGACTTTGTCATTTCTCTGAACAATATCCCATTGCCTTTGGGATATTAGGAGCAGGTGCTCAAAAATAATATCTTTATAAAATATAAAATATTCTAAGGATATATCCCATTATCCTGTTGCCTCTGAGATAAATACAAACTTCCCTGGCCTTTTGTAATATGGATCCAGCCTACCTTCCCAGACTTATTGTACGTTGCTCTCCTATGTTCCACATTCCCCACTAAATGATGCAGCCAAACTGGTGTGTCTGCTGTTCAAATACCACTCCTGTGTCTTTCCTTAGGCATTTCCCAAGGCCTACAACAGGTTCCCCAACCCCTGGCCTAGAACATAATCCTCACTTCCATCTCAAAGAATCCTTAGTTTCCCTCAACACCCTAGCCAAGTGTCACCTTTTCTGATTCTCTCCAACTATCCCTGAAATTGCTTCATGTTTACCTTATGCATATTTTGTATTTATTTATTTGTGTTCATGTGGTCTCCCAACCATCACCTCCCAAAAGAATATAAGCTCCTTGAGGGCAAAGTGTTTTATTGTTGCGTGAGCATCACTAGTGCCTAGTACAATGTCTGGTATATTGCAGGCACTTAAAAAATGCTTGTTAAATGAAGGAATATCTTTTATTTCTCTCTTACAGTTAAGTAAGAGTCAGCAAAGCCAACGTCAGAGAACACAGAAAACACCCAATAATCAATTTGTCCAAAATAATCCAATTCGAACTTTGAGAAGTAGACCATCATCTGCTCAATCCCCATCAAGGAAATCTCAGTCTCGTCCACACGCATCCACCTCATCTGTAGCTGGAGTTCCTCGAAAGATTACATCTTCACATTCTCAGGCTCCAAAAGCCCAATCATCATCTTCCCAGAAGGTGGTAAGAAGGTCTTCTGCTCCTGTTCAAGCTGCATCAAGGGTAGCTATAGCTAACCAGATAGTTCCTAAGTCATCTCCAGCATGGAAACAGACCTCTCCTTTGAAGGTAGGGCCCAAATCAGTTAGGACATCCTCCAAACAGTCCACAGGTTCTCAATTTACATCAAGGCAGTCTCGGCCTGCCAAGAAACCAGCAGTAGCATCAAGAACCTCAAAAGTCACCCGCAAGCCTTCTCGACCTGCCAACAAACCAGTGAGAACCTCCAAAGTCACCCGCAAGCCTTCTCAGTCTTCCAACAAAGCAGTGAGAACCTCCAAAGTCACCCGCAAGCCTTCTCGACCCGCTAGCAAGGCAGTGAGAAGCCCCAAGCCCTCCCGCAAGTCTTCTCGACCCACCAACAAACCAGTGAGAACCTCTAAAGTCACCCGCAAGCCTTCTTGGCCCTCCAACAAAGCAACAAGAAGCCCTAAGCCCACCCTCAAGCCTTCTCAACCCACCAATAAGGCAGCAAGAAGGCCCAAGCCCACCCGCAAGCCTTCTCGACCCGCCAACAAACCATCGCAAAGGCATAAGCCCATCCGTAAGCCTTCTCCACCTGCCAACAAACCAACATGGTCCAAGCGTACACCAAAACGATCTCCAGTGCCCCAACGTCCACCAAAGAAACGTCCACATGCCCAAGCTCCACAAAAGAAACATAGACCTTCCAAGGCTATTCCATGTCCCAATGCCAAAGCTCCATCATGTAAACACACCTCGTGTTCTAAGCCAAAGGCTCCAAGGCCTCTACCACACATATCCCAACCCCTTCGTCCTCCACCATCCCATCCTCATCCTAAAAAACCTTGTCATTCAGGATCTCATTCAGCACCCCATCTTCGCCCACATCGAGGCCATCCACATCGATCTCATAAACATCCAGGAGGTCAACAACCACCTCAAATAGTGCCAACTACTTCGGCAGGAGTCACAGAAGAACCTGATGCCTTAACTGATGCCCAAACAGATTTGGTTATCACAACTACTGGAGCCACTACTACTTTAGCTGGAACAAGCACTACTGTGTCAGGTAGCACAGTCTCCACAGCTGCCACCACAAGAGCCACCACCACTGTCACCACGGGGGCCACCAATATTACCACCACAGGCACCACTACTGCTGCCACTACAGGAGCCACCACCACCACCAGTACAAGGGCCACCACTACCACTGGGGGAGCTACCACCACTGCCACTTCAGGGGCCATCACTACCACTACAGGGGCCACTACCATGGCCACTGCAGAGGTTACCACCACTACTACTACAGGAGCCACCACCACTTCCACTACGGGGGCTACCACCACTGCCACTACAGGGGCCACCACCACTGCCACTATGGGGACTACCACCACTGCCACTACGGGGACTACCACTGCCACTGTTGCCACATCTTCAGTCACTGATGCCTCAACATCTGAAGCCTCGACAGTAATTGCTGAGGTCTCTACTGAAATAGCTACTGATAGTACTACTTCCCCTGCAACAGATGAATCAACCTCACCAGGGACTGAAGTCACCACCCCAGCTGTTGAAGCATCAACCTCTGAGCCTGATGCCTCAACCCCAGCAGATGAGTCCACCACTGGAGTTGTGGAAGCCACCACTGTCACTACGGGGGCCACCACTATTACCACCACAGGCACCACTACTGCTGCCACTACAGGAGCCACCACCACCACCAGTACAAGGGCCACCACTACCACTGGGGGAGCTACCACCACTGCCATTTCAGGGGCCATCACTACCACTATAGGGGCCACTACCATGGCCACTGCAGAGGTTACCACCACTACTACTACAGGAGCCACCACCACTTCCACTACGGGGGCTACCACCACTGCCACTACAGGGGCCACCACCACTGCCACTA